TATGTGTGTGTGTGTTTGAATAGATATATACATGTATATATAAAAGCAAGCGAGCCGCACATCATTTCGGGCCACGCCCCAACGGACGCACTCGATCGCAAATCGGTGTCCACCGCACAGATTAGTTTTGCCACTCGCGACCCTTCCAGGCTATAGTATCCGTTAACAGCATCGCTGCTGATGACTACATATTGCTAATTGAACTGGAAACATTTTATCGTCTATGATGCTGCTGGTCTACACAAACTCTCTATTCTATCAATATACAAAACTAGAAAGTGCCAAATTTTGGAACAAACATGTTATTTGCGAAATGCCAATGACCTGATGTGAACATGGCTAGATGCCGTCAAAGTACAGCGAATACATTGTACAGCAAACCATCTAGCCTTCAACTAACTACAAGATACTGGAAAGGTGAGACACACTCCTATCGCTTACAATGTCACTTATATAATACACAGTGCCACTGGCCATTGCTGATGACTTCCCAATGACGGCGCATACCTATTACCAAACAACGACACAAGCCTATTTATCCTCTAGCGTCATATGTATATTTCAACTAACCTATCCCTTATACAACCAGGTATAGTGAGACTTCCGCACTTACTTATCGCTGTCCATAATTGTTTTGAGACGATGTGCTATGGTGATGATAGTACAATCCTTGAACTCCTTGCGGATGGTGGCCTGGATAAGCTCGTCGGTCTCCAGATCACACGCAGCTGTCGCCTCGTCCAGCAGCAATATCTTAGTTTTGCGCAGAAGCGCACGGCCTAAGCACACCAACTGTATTTAAATGATGGAATATATAATGTAAGCACGCGTATGCAATATATCATGTAAGTACGCGTATCTAGAGAATACGTATATAAGAACGAATGTGCAGCAGAATATCTGTTTTGCGCAGAAGCGCATGACCCAAGTACACATCAACTGTGTTTAAGTGATGAAAAGACAAATCATACTGATCTTATGCATGAATTTCTTCGCAGAATTATGGAGCACAAATGAGTGTGTTAATGAGTGTGTTAGCAATGAGTGTCTTGATGGTTATTAACTATATGTATGTGTGCAACAGAATCTTAGTTCTGCGCAGAAGCGCACGGACAAAGCACGCCGGCTGTGTTTGAGGTGAGGGAATGACAATCGAACGTGCCAGGATGATATATATATGAATATCTGGATAAGAAGCATACCAGGACATATAGCGCAGCAGAAAGTCGGTTGTGTCAAGCAAAGCACACTAACTAACTGTGGTTGAGTAAGAAAATGGGCGTGCCAGGACATACACGTGACAGTGAAATACAAACATACGTGTACGAGTAGAGCTGCGTTTTTTGTTTAGCATAGTTACAACGCTCGACAGTACTAGGCAAACGATGTCCCAATCACTAACACGCACTTGTGCAAATAGACCTCACTGATAAAATCCATATTTAAATGTCTATATAGAACAGATTATCACACCTGGCGCTGCCCGACTGAGAGATTTGAGCCATCTTCGTAAACGGGCGAGTCCAGCTTGAGTGCCTGTGACTCAACATAATCACGCATGTGGCAATTTTCTACAGTCTTCCACAGTGCAGCCTCGTCGTACGTGTCAAAGGGGTCCAGGTTAGACCTCAGAGTGCCCTATATGCACAAAAAGGCAATTGAGTACAATAA